GACCTGTGGAGCGGCCGCGAGCTGAGCGCGCAGGGGGCCCTGGCCTGGTTCCACGCGCAGCGGCGCCAGACCCTGCAGGAGGGCGGCGTGGTGGTCCTGCTCTTCTCGCCGGGGGCCGTGGCGCTGTGCCGAGAGTGGCTGCAGGATGGGGCGGTGGCCCCCGGGGCACGCGGCCCCCACGATGCCTTCGCCGCCTCGCTCAATTGCGTGCTGCCCGATTTCCTGCAAGGCCAGGCGCCGGGCCGCTACGTCGTGGCCTGCTTCGACGGACTGCTGCACCCGGACGCCGTGCCCACCCTGTTCCGCGCCGTGCCCGTCTTCTCCTTGCCCTCGCAGCTGCCTGAGTTCCTGGGCTCCCTGCAAGGGCCCGGCGCCTCCCGCCCCAGGCGGCTCGCCGAGAGGGCAGAGCAAGTGTCCCGGGCCCTTCAGCCCGCCCTGGACAGCTGCTTCCTGTCCCCAGGAGCCCCCGGGCGGGAGACAGGACCCGAATAAAGCAGAGCTGTTTTCCTATCACTGTGGCCCTGGGGAGTCTCTATGGCCAAGCCCAGGACCCTGCAGCACCCCGGCCCTTTAAAGCCGGAGCAGGTGTAGGCTGGCGTTGTCTCTGATTGGCTAGGGTGGGTGACGTCATTGCACATGGCTCGCCGCCATTGGCTGCAACGGTTGGCCACGCCCCGGTCTGCTGCGTGCGCTTCACGCAGGCGGTGGCGACCTCAGCGCTCGCTCGGGGCAGGGGGCGGTGGTTTCTCGGCTCTTCGCGGGCGCCTTCGGCTCTGGCCGGTCTTGTCGGCCTGGAGGCTCCGGCCTGACCCCTTCTCTTCATGACGGGACCCCGGCTTCTCCTCCCAGGACCAGGGCTCCTCACTCCTCCCCCCAGCCCACCCTCCTGGCCTTCTCTCTCCTAATACTCAACCCGCTCTCCCTAGTTCTGCTGCTTTGGCCCCTAAGAACTCCTTGAGACCCCAAGACATGGCCCGGCTCCTGCCCCCTGGCCAAGGATCCAGGCCACGACCCCTGCGGCAATGGGGATAGGGCTAACTTATTTCTCGCTTGGGATTGCTGGTTAAAATCTTTTCCCCACCAAACCCTGCCCCGCACCCCCAAGTTCTCTTACAGTCCGTCTGGCTCCCTGCCCCGCCCATCCCTGAACCCACCCTTTCCTTTCCTTTCCCACCTCCACCACTAGCCTGGCTCCTAGAGAAGCCTCCCACGTCCTCTGTCTGCAGGGCCCCAGCCTGGGAAGAGATGGCCCCACACCCTCCTTGGGGCCTGGTCTGGGGCCTAACTCTCTTCCTCAGCCTCCCAGACCCTGCCTGGCTCCAGCCCTCTCTTCCTCCCCAATCTGCTCCCCCCGCTGAGCCCCATCCATGTCATACCTGCCGGGCACTGGTGGACAGCTTCAACAAGGTGGGTGCACCAGTAGTCTACAGGGAGGGGGCCTACCCACCTCTAGCCCAGCTGTGCGCAGCTGGGGGCCCTTGGTATAAATCTGCAGGGATTCAACTTCCATCTCACTTATTATCTGTATGGCCCGGGGCAAGTGTCTGCTCTGTGTATCTCAGTTTCCTCGTCTGTAAAATAGTGAAATACTAGACTGTGCCAGGCTCTGTACTTAACTATTACTAGTTTTCTCCATGTCCAGGGCCTGGAGAGAACCATTCGGGACAACTTTGGGGGTGGAAACACTGCCTGGGAAGAAGAGAAGTTGTCCAAATACAAAGACAGGTAAGAGGATGTTGGGGAGGAGGTGGGTGTATATTCTACCTCTTAATTTCTGTTTCACTGCATAGGAGGGTCTAGGACATACAACAACCATCACTGAACATCTACTACACAGCAATAAACATGGAAGCAAACTCCTGTCTTCCTGGAACTCACATTCTAGTATAGAAACAAGGAGCGGATGGCTCATGCCTGTAGACCTAGCTACTCAGGAGGCTGAAATCTGAGGATCCCAGTTTGAAGCCAGTCTGGGCAGACAAATCTAAGAGACTCTTGTCTCCAGTTTACCCACAAAAAGCCAGAAGTGGCAGTGTGGCTCAAGTGGTAGAGCCACTACGCTTGAACCAAAATGCTAAGCAAAAGCCATGAAGCTCTGTGTTCAAGCCCTAGAACTGCATGTGCACGCGCATGTGTGCGCACACATATGCATACACGTAACACTTTCTAGTTGAAAAATAAGTAACTTGTCAGGTAAAGGACAGTCAAGTGAGGTAGACTACAGAGGGCAGGAGCTTGTGTAACTCAGAAGAGGAGGGAGTGGAGCGAGCAGAAATGAGATCCACACTTTGAAGGCTACAGAATGGGGTTTATATTTTGTTCTGTGTATAATGGGAAGCCCCTGGGAGATTTTGAGCAGAGAAGTAATCGGCTCTCTCTCTCTTTTTGTCTTGAAGACTTTTCTCTACAGACTGGTTTCATACTTCCAGTCTTTTAAAAAAAAAAAAAAACTCAAGGGATCAAGGTTTAATGCAATAGTGTCTTTTTTTTTTCTTTCTCTCCTTTGGTCGTGAGGCCTGGGCGTTGTCCCTCAGCTCAAGGCTAGCGCTCTACCACTTGAGCCATAGCACTACCTCTAGTTTTCTGTTGGTTTATTGGAGATAAGACTCTTACAGAGTTTCCTGCCCAAGCTGGCTTTGAACCACAATCCTCAGATCTCAGCCTCCTGAGTAGCTAGGATTATAGTTGTGAGCCACTGGCACTGGCAAATAGGGTCTTCTTGTACCTAGAAGAGATCACTCACAGCTGGCCAAGTGGAAGAAGTGGGGACGAGTTTAAAAGGCGAATACGCAGCGTAGCATGAAGGAGCCTGAGCTAGTGTGGTATCCAGTAATGGATGGGATGAGAAAGGTAGAATTCTGGGTATATTTTATAGATAGAACAGTAAGACTTGAGATGGATTCATTATGGGGTTTGAGAAAAAGAATAAAAACCTGAGGTAAATAGCAATTTTCAGAGATAAGACTGTGGAGGTGGTTTTGGGGTAGGCTTAGGTGTTGTCTTTAAGCTGTGGGACCCAGTCCATTAAACATCCATGTAACCTCCATCTAGGTCTGGAGCTCAGGAAAAAAGGAGTTTGAGGGTCAGAAGCATGTAATCAGAACCTAAAACTACAGGAAGATAGATTATCTAGAAGCTGAGGCTTGAACCTTAGACTCTTTGTATCTGGCTTCTTTTTTTGTTGTTGTTGGTTGTGGGGCTTGCACTCTGGGCCTGGGCGCTGTCCCTCAGCTCTTCAGCTCAAGGCAGGTGCTCTACCACTTGAACTTCAGCGCCACTTCCGGTTTTCTGGTGGTTAATTGGAGAAGAGAGTCTTTCCTGCCCAGGCTGGCTTTGATGTGCGATCCTGAGATCTCAGCCTCTTGAGTAGCTAGGATGACAGGCGTGAGCCACAGGCATCCATTCTTTTGGGCATATGCCAAGTGGAATTGCTAAGTCACGGTAGTTCTATGTTTAACTTCTGAGAAACAACACTGCACAGGGGCTACTTTTTTTTTTTTTTTGGTCTGGTCGTGGGGCCTGAACTCTGGGCTTGGACACTTGTCTCTCAGCTCTTCAGCTCAAGGCTAGCGCTCTACCACTTGAGCCACAGCACCACTTCCGGTTTTTTCTTTTTTGCTTATGTGGTACTGAGGAATCAAACCCACGGCCTCATGCATGCAAGGCAAGTGCTCTACCACTGAGCCACCTTCCCAGCCCCCTACTTTTGTACTTGCAATGTGAAGGTTTCTACTTTTTAATTTCCTGGAATACATTTTCTAATTACTTGCTTGCCAATGCTTGTTAGGGTGTGTGTGTGTGTGTGTGTGTGTGTGTGTGTGT